TCTAATAAGGATGAGCATGTCATTCATCAACTAAAGAAGCATAATTGCCCTGTTGTATTGGCTAGATTAAAGAGAACTTGCCAAGGTTGAAAGTAAACCTTGGTAACTCCCGTAGGAGACTAGCCTCTTGTATGACTCGAGTCATTGCTAAGCTCGAGCAATCATACAGTTCTCCTACTTTATTATGTATATGTGCAAATTAAGAATAGTTCTAATAAGTAAAGTCTCAAAATAAGAAAGAATCGCTTAAATCTCATCAATTGGATTTATGAAGTCAGCATTTTAAGAAAGAGTCGCTCAAATCTCATCAATGGTATCCTCTTTGTTGAGGTAGGGGTTACCGAGTTTCTCTAAGCTTATAAGATAGTTTGTTGGTGATTAACTTCTCATAAACCCAAATTTTAACTCTTTGCAAGGGGTAGTTAAGATAAAGAGGCCTTAACCCAGATAAGGGCCTTGGGCGATAAGGCTTGGGCCAAGAAGGTATCTTATTTTTTATATCTATCTTCCTTTTTCTTTTTGGTGGCATAGGATAAAGCCTTGAAGAAATTCATGTCTGCACAAAAAATAAAATAAGTTAAGAACACATTCAGAAAGAGAAAATGAGGAGCATGAGCTCGAATACCAACCTTTAGGTGTGACACTTAAGCCAGGTTTAATAAGTCATAATTCACTTATCTATGTAATAGCGGTGAAATAAGATAAAGCTTGGATAAGTCAAGAGAATTACCCCTTCATTGCCTCATTTAGCCTCAATAATGCATCTACCAACTTTAGGGTGACATAACTAAGTTGAAAGACCATCCACTCTTGAAAAAACATAAACAAATCTTTTATTCTAACTTTTGTTGGAGCTTAGTGCTCTAAGGCATTGCATTCACCTTAGGCAGAAATAAAATAAAGAAAATAGATTGACAACCTAATGCATATGTTATAAGATGTGTGTAGAAGCTTGATAACATTATGACATTCCTTGATAAAAGTTGTAAGATAATATTATCTTGGGTACTACTTGAGTAAGAAAGATATTTTATGCAAGCCACGATATAATATTATATTGGGTGCTACTTGAGCAAGAAAGATATTCCATTTAAGATAGATATAAATAAAGTATAAAAGGAAAAATGAAAACTCATTTCTAATATATGTGTAGAGATAATGATTCACGGTAAATAAAAATTTAAATTTATGTGAAATGAAGATCGAGTCCTAACGGATAAGGTCTTCAAAACTAACTTTAAAATTAAAATTAAAGAATTATAAGGTCTTCAAAACTAACTTTAAAATTAAAATTAAAGAATTATATCATATCCTACAATGGTCCATCAAACGACGAAGCTACCTTCAAAGAGATATATTTTTCAATGAGACAACTCCATCCTCTTTCGAGGAGGAAGTCAGGTTGATGGAGACATAGGAGATGGAGGGATAGAGAATCGAATGATCAGAGTTATGGCCTCATCAAGAAATGAATTTGATTCAAATGAAAAGGAGAAAGATATTTTTAAAATATAGAATCGAGAGAGGGTTCAAATATAAGTTGAAAAATCAATTTATTAAAGGATAGGCGAAGGAAAAACAATAACCAAAGATTCCCTTTTATAAAAGTCAAATATCATTTGGCCTTCTAAACTTGATTTTCCTACTAATTCAAATGGACACACAATTTAAAGATTATTGATTGGACATTAAAGATTAAGTGTTTGATTGAAAATATTAAATTATCAAAAACTGAATCAAATTAGACATCATGCCATAACTAAAGTAGATATATTAGAAGTAGCTACAACAACTAGTAATAGGAAAATGATAAAAAAATATAATACGATTGAATCATAATACAAAATATCTTAAACGTATGATGTGATAAAATCTAATTATGAAGCATCTCGAATCTACGATGCTATCAAATTAGATCACAAAGCATATTTAATTTATAACCGATTGAATCTAATCATAAAATGTCTTGAACCTATGATGCAGTCAAATTTAAGCATGAATCATTATAAATTTATATGATTGAATTAGACTATAAAATATCAAAAACATAAGATAAAACTATATACGACCAAAAGTGTCCTAAATCTATCACATGATTAACTTAGATCATGAAGCACCTCAAATCTAATTCACGATAGCCATTAAGTATCCCCAAGTCTATGACATAGTCAAATCATACAACAAAGTATTTTGAATCTATGATATGGTTGAATCAGGACATGAAGCGTCCAAAAAAATATGACATAGATGAATCAAGCTATGAAGTTTCTCAGTTTTATGGAGTGGTTAAGATAAATTAGAGAGCACCTCGACCACTTAACAAGGTGGGAGCTGGTCTACGATTTATATATAAAATAATATTATCCTTATATATTTAAGTATCTTATTTCACGGTTTGAATAACTCTTTATGTCTAAGTAACACAATAATTTTATAGAATCATTCCCTTCAAAGTAACTTTGCACTCTAAAAGGTAATAGTTACCTAAATCATCTCTACTAAGATTTCAAATAGTACTACTGAGGAAACTCTTTTTTAATTTATTTTTTAAACTTAAATATTATAGAAATATTTAGTAGAAAAGCCTTCGATCTAGTCTTGCAAGGTTATTCAATAGAATCTTCTCACTATCTAACATCAATTGATTGTCTTCGAACTAAGTTGGCTCCATAATATGCATTGACATATTGGACAATCAAATAATCTTAATCTTACTCCTATTCAATATTATCATATTTGAGAAGAAACACATCTAAATACTAATATGTTAGAACCTCAACTCGACTATCCACATTATTAATCAAATTAATTTTAAATAAATATCTAAATATATGATTATAAATTGATATATTTATATGTGAACTCCACTTCAGCCAATAATTAGAATTTGATTACCGATGTCATTCAATAAGCACCACATTAAATAGAATATATATTCATAATACTATGTCTCAATTTAAATTTGACAAACTACCTAGTTAGCTACTTGAACTTATCTCTCTACTCCATTTTAAATCCAATGATATAAAAAAAAAACTTGAGTTAGATAGATACCTTGGCCATTATTTAAATACAAGGAGAAAATATAATTATCATTAATTTCCTTTTAAAACTCATATGAAATATTAAGTAACCATTACATAATTTATATTTTTAATTATTTTTGTTCAAATTAATACTGACAAATATAATTAGTACGGGTTTCTTGCATGAATGAGAGGAGATCTTACTATTTATATTCGGAGGAATATATATGCTATACTTAATTGACAAGGAAAGAAATGAGATTCTCAAACTTTGTGAGAATTGATATGTAAAAAGAACTTTTATTTTTCTTAAAGACTGATATTTGATAGTTGAAGACTTGATAGTAAAATATGTTACATACTGAAGTGAAGAGATAATGGAAACACTTTTCGAACATATATATATATATATATATATATATATATATATATATATATATATACTCAACTGAGAGAGAGGCCTAACAAAAGTGGACAACTAGTTCTTCTGACAAATTGTTATAAAGTATATTATTATCCATTATGTTACTTAATATTTTATTAAGTAGGAAAAAGATAAAATTAACTTTCTAACTTCACTATATTACTTATAATAGGACTTTTACTTGGAACAATATTATTTGTTTGATAAACAATTTAATTAAGTTTGATAAACAATTGTACCAATACTTATTAAATTATATGCTTAATCATTTTGTTAACTTTCTTTTACCAAGGTGGAAGGAAATTTAGTTAATTTCTTTGAAATATCCTAATTTATTCCTCATAAAACATTGAATCATCATAGTGTAAGCTATTTCTTTTCATATCAATTTAGGATATTGTATTTTATCCTCTAATAACATCTCAATCATTATTTTCATAGTCTAAAGTAATGAATAAATTATAATTGATGGAAAAAAGTATGTTCAAAATTTCTAAAATACATATAACAAAATAATAAATGCTTAAAGCTCTGGTTCATGAAAGTAGATTCACAATCGCACTAACACAACTTTCTTTAAAGGTGTGTTTCACATTCTTTTCTTTCTCCGAATAAAGAAGACATGGTGGGTCTCCACAAAACTTCTTTATTGATGCTATCAATAATTATTTTTTAACTTATAATTATTGATTGAGGTATGCTTTACATCTCAGTCATTATTTTTTAAATCTCAAATTGAGGTGTGCTTCGTATCTCAATAATTATTTTTTAACTTATAAAAATTATAAGTTAAAAATATATTAAAAAATTTAATATAAAATATATCATGGTTTGGTATATCTCACCTGTATGTATGAAGAAAATTAAATTCTTGAGATCAATTTCAAGATCCTTCAATTATTTTCACCCAAATTTAATTCTCCTTATACACTTCTCTATAAAGAATCTTTCTATTGATCTTCTCTAGAAACATTAAATATCATCATTAAAGATCAAGTCAAAGCTCCACAAGAAGAAGGCACACCATCTTTTCCTCCTCCTATTGAGGTGGGCAGTTTCTGAACATGGAAAAGGATTTGTCCTTCAGTTGTGAGATAAAAAAAGATCAAGTCAAAGCTCATCAAAAGCTGCACTAATCTCTCCTCAAAGCAACAAAAAGAAAAAAAAAAAGAAGAAATTTCTAAATGCACCTAATGATGTCTAATTTAGTGTAGAAAATGATATATAAATATAAATAACATATCAAGAAATCAATGGATGCTTCACATGCCATAGAAGAATCACATTTACATAGTGGAATCCATTTAATTCCCACACCACAAGTCACTCCTTGTACTATATGGTAGTGGCAAAAGTGTGTGCATCAATGCACCTCCCACCTTTATGATGATCATCATAAAACAGCATGTTAAATTAACTTGCTTTCATTAATTTTATTTTTTTTCCTAATTTAAAGGAAAATAAATTGCATTTTATCTTAAATGTGTTGATTTACTTTTAAGGATACTTATGGGTATATGTTTTATCTTAAATGTGTTGGTTTATGTATTGTGAAGGTGTGCAACACTGTGAAGTGTCCTACATACTTGAAACACTACAATGGCAAGATCGAAGGCTATAGCATCTCCTCCATCCCGTCTTCTTCTTCTTCTTCTTCTCCTCTTCCTGTGCGGCTCCCATGCAGCGCAGCAGCCGATCCGAGCCGTGGTGGTTCTCATCATGGAGAACCGCTCCTTCGACCACATGCTGGGGTGGATGAAGTCGGCCCTCGGCTTGCCCATCGACGGCCTCAGCGGCACCGAGTGCAACCGGCGGTCGGTCGCAGACCCCACCTCCCCCTCCATCTGCGTCTCCGACGACGCCCGGTACGTCGACCCCGATCCCGGTCACTCCTTCGTCGCCGTGCGGGAGCAGGTCTTCGGGTCGAGCAACAGCAGCGAAAGCACCGCCGTGCCTTCCATGTCCGGCTTCGTCCAACAGGCCCTCTCCGTGTCCGAGGACCTCGCGGGCACCGTCATGAAGGGGTTCAAGCCGGAGAACGTGCCGGTGTATGCCGCCCTGGCCCAGGAGTTCGCGGTGTTCGACCGGTGGTTCTCGTCGTTACCGGGGCCGACGCAGCCCAACCGACTGTTCGTCTACTCCGCCACCTCCCACGGCGCGACGTGCCACGACAAGGTGCAGCTGGCCAAGGGGTACCCCCAGAAGACCATCTTCGACTCCCTCCACGACGACGGGCTGGATTTTGGCATCTACTACGAGAGCGCGCCGGCGACGCTGTTCTACCGCAACCTGAGGAAGCTGAAGTACGTATTCAAGTTCCACAAGTTCGGGACGTTCAAGGATCACGCCCGAGACGGCAAGCTACGGAGCCTGAGCGTGCTCGAGCCGCGCTACTTCGACCTGCTCGGCAAGGCCGCCAACGACGACCACCCCTCGCACGACGTCGCCAACGGGCAGAAGATGGTGAAGGAGGTGTACGAGGCGCTGCGGGCCAGCCCGCAGTGGAACGAGAGCCTGTTCATCATCACCTACGACGAGCACGGCGGCTTCTACGATCACATCGCCACGCCCACCGTCGGCGTTCCCAGCCCCGACGGCATCGCCGGCCCTGCCCCCTACTTCTTCGGCTTCGATCGGCTCGGCGTTCGTGTCCCCGCCATCCTCATCTCCCCCTGGATCAAGAAAGGCACAGGTAAATGCATGTGCGACTTTAATGCCATGGTGTGTGACTCATCCTCTGTTCACATCCTTCGCTCTGTTCCTAATTGATGATGCTGGTCCTGTTGCTGCTGCAGTCGTGAGCAGGCCGCAGGGACCGGCACCGACGTCCGAGTTCGAGCACTCTTCGATCCCTGCAACCATAAAGAAGCTATTCAACCTCACCTCAGATTTCCTTACCCAGAGAGATGCTTGGGCTGGCACATTCCAGAACATCTTCAGCGAACTCACCTCACCAAGGACCGATTGCCCTGGTAACCTCTTCTCTCTCCCCAAGCTCACTCTCAGATCGCTGAATCAGCTTCTCAGTTAAAGCCCTTTTGGCAGAGGTGTTGCCGGATGTGCCGCCGCTGAGGGCGACGAAGGCGAAGGAGCACAGAGTTGTGTCGGAGTTCCAGAGCGAGATCGTCGAGATGGCGGCTATTCTCAACGGAGATCATCGCCTGACCAAACACGGGGACAAGACCATCAAGCGAATGACGGTGAGGGAGGCTGATGCTTATGTGAGCCACGCAGTTGCCAGGTTCTTTCGAGCGAGCAAAGATGCCATCGAGAAGGGAGCAGACGAATCAAAGACAGTAGACATGGCAGCAGCCAAGCATGGTTGATGGAAGGTTACATGTTCTTGTAGTGGAGATGATGAGACTCAAGCAATAATCTTGTAGCTAGCAACAAGTGCTTGTTATATAGACAGTACAAGTTTGCTTTCAGTGATCCAATGACAGCGAGTAGTTAGCAGAAATGCTTGATGAACTCAGTAATCTTAACCTCAAGAACCTTAATGCATCTTGACATCCATCATGGTGCTTGTTGTATGAAGGTAAGAGTAATTAGTGGAATTGCCTTGTGAACTTATCACTCTTAACCTTAAGAACCTTGACATCCATACTTAGATTACAAGTTTGCTCTCATTGATCGCATAACATTGAGATATTATAGCAGCATTCATTTGCTTGGCTTCCATTTTCTTTCAAGAAGGCAACATAGTGTTCTGATGTTAGTAGGATCATAATGTATCATAGTCCTAACAACAAACTATTCTTTGCAATGTATTGCTAATATGTTCCTATAGAGATATAAGCACATACTGCAAAGCAACATGATGATTGAAATGACAAGTACTCATCAAATCTTGGTAGGATCAGAAGTATATAAGCAGAAAGAACTCTTATATCTCTCAATCTCACCTGCCAAAGGAAATGAAATGAAGTTAATTGATTTCTTGAAGACCATAATTACCTCACATATAGGAACAATTTATACTAAAAGGAGACCCCTGGCAGAGTCCAGAAATGACAAGTTTTGGGCTAATAAAAGGCAGTAATGGGAAGAGTGGGAGATTAACCTCTCCAGCTGTTTTGAGTTCCTCTTGGATATTCTTAGCATGGCAAAATTAACTTCTAGGATGAGCATTACTGTTTGCTTAAGTGCTTTTTATTGAAGAATCTTGATTGCCATATAAGGGGTTACTGAATACAAATGTAAATTTTTTAGGGAAAAAGAAACTGTCTATACCATTACTTGAAGAAGATCCATAATTACAATCATGGAAGTAATTTTTTTTATTTTGTAAATTAACTTCATACTTGGGTAGAAAATCTCAAAGATTTATGCTAAGGAATCTCTCATTGATTTGAGAAAGGATGTTGGGGAAAAGTTATTGAAATAGTTTCTGTATTCAGAATTTATGGTGTTCAAGTGAGATGTCATTACACAAACACATTTCTCATGAAAATGGTGATACAGATTTTTTGATGAGCAGAAAGAATAGATCTTTATTGATCTTTGCATTACCAATATGTTTTTCTCTGAGTACAAATTTTGTAGCATTCCTGAAGATGGAATATGCAGGTGAGCTTGGAGATTAAATTCAGAAGCTCCCTTGTCATTTGCTTCACTGCTTCCTACTTACTGCGACTGAGAGGGAGTAGCAGAAGAGTGCGTTAACGCCAGTTTTGCTTTTAGCAGTCCTTGGGCGACATGGGTGAGGTATCAGGATCACTCTTTTTACGGATTTCTTATTGGTTTTGGATTGTTTTTTGCTGATGATTGCAGAAAGATCTAATCTTGAGCAAGAGGAGAAGCAGCTAGAGGAGGACGGGAAGAAAGAGTGGCGACCGGAGTAGGAGGAGGAGAAGGGAAAGAACGATGGAATTGGTGACGGGAAAAAGGAAGAAGAGAAGGTGGCAGAGAAGCCACCGCCTACCCCGCCGGAAAAATGTCGACATGCATTGTGAGGGATGTGAGAGGAAGGTGCGGCGGTGCCTCAATGGCTTACAAAGCATAGAGAGATCCGTAAAAAAATCGATGTTTGATGTGTATTTGGTCAGGTTTTTAAAAATTGATCCTAGAATTGGATCTTTTTGTGTTTGTTTGGATCGGAAGGTGCTGAAGAGGTGGTGGCGGACAGCCGCACGCACCGTGTGGCGGTGAAGGGGAGGAAGGCCGCGGAGGATCCGATGAAGTGGTGGAGAGAGTCCAGAAGAAGAACGGAAGGAAAGTGGAACTGCTCAGCCCCCTGCCGCCACCGCCGCAGCCGGAGAACAAGGAACAGGAGAAGCGAAGTGAGGAGAAGCACAAAGCAGAGGAGGAGAAGGAGGTGCGACAACCAAACCTACCTCTTCCTAATTGTCTTCTCGGTCCTCTTCAAAACCTCTGCTTTTATTTGATGCAAGGCAGCCGCAAGTGATCCTTGTTGTGCTCAGAGTCTACCTGCACAGCGACGCCTTCACCCAAAGATCAAGAAAAGGATTCTGAGGATGAAAGGTTACACCTTTAATTAGACTCCCTCAAAGGATCCTGCGAGAACCAAACCTACCTCTTCTTCCCAATCGTCTTATTATCAGTCTCTGCTTGTTTTGAACATATTTTGTATTAAGGAGACTGAGATGAAAGATTACATCTTTACATCCTTCTCTTTATCATTAATCGTTCGAATTAGTTCATGTAAGACTCGAGATTCTGATCCAAAGCTTCGATCTTTTCCGTTTGATTCGGAATGTAGCAAGAAAGGTGGGATCTTTTTGGTGGAAACGGGGGTGCAGACGGCGGAGCCGGCCCTGAAGAGCTCGGAGGTGACGGTGAAGGGCGTGTTCGACTCGGCGAGCCTGGTGGCGTACGTCCACAAGCGGCAAGCGGCGGTGGTGAAGCAGGAGACAGAGGAGAACACCAAGGCGGCGGAGAAAGAGAAGAAGGCGGAGACGGAGAATGGTTTGCCGTTCGATCAGTGAGCCCTTCCAAATCATTGACTAATGCTTGGTGGGGGTTCAACAGGCTGCTCAGCTTGGATTGTGGTCCTCAGGATCAGAACACAAATGATTTCTTGCAGATAAGCATGGATGAGGGTATCTCCATTTGTGTTTGCAGTTGGTGTGAGCTCACAGAAGAAACTTCCAACAGCCAGCACTTGAAGATAAGGCCCCCCCCCCATCCATGTCTCCTCTTTGGAGAGCAAATGTGACAACAACAACAGTAGCACTAACAAACACCTCTCCTTCTTTTCTTTATCATTATCATCAATCACATACCAAAACTCTCCACATAGCAAAAATCATAATAATTCAAATTGGTATGGTCAAATTTAATCATTAAGTTGGTCTGATAGATCTAATCCGATCGAATTTATTTTTATATGAAAAATATATTTTCGAGACGATGCCAATCATTACTAAAATTTTTTCAGAGATATATCCAATAATTTTTTTGTTATTTAATATGTTCCTAATGAATATTTATCGAGAGAGACGATCATCAATTAATATAATTTTATCGGAGCCATTACACAAAAAAAAATATGAAATTTATTATTTCTATTTTTAGCATGTTTAAAATGTATAGAAATAATATCTTAGATATTACTATTTTGGTATGTTTGAAGCTAAAACATCCCATGCCAAAATCCACATCTTTAATGTGGATGGCCTTTGTTCTATCTATCCACTCTCACCTAAAAATCCGACCAACCTGGAAAGAAAGAGAAACCTCCATCCGAGTCCACACATGAAACGGACATCTTCCTCATGAGTGGGTGAGAGAGGATCCATGTCACTTTCTTGGATTGGCTTTCGATAGTTGCAAGGAGGCAGGGAGTTATCTGCAGCTCTCCACCATTTCCGATGGAATCTCTCCACAGTCCCACATGCAATGGCCAAAGACAACAGGCAACAACAGTGTGGCAGTGCCCTGTCAGGGTAAGAGCTGTGGTCAGAAGCCCTTCCGACAAGGGGATGCACAGAACTACCTGAAGAAAGAGCTACAACGTCGAACCATTATGACATTAAAGTAGCTTGGCTGACTGCAACATCCATGTTGTGGTTTTGGTGTCTCCTTTCCTCTGTTTTATTCTCTCTCTATTTTTTAAAGCACAGAATCACCTCGAGTTTCTCTCTCTCTTTCTTTGAGCACAGAGTTACCTGAAGAAGGTGGTCAATGGAAGGGTTACTATAAAGATGTCTTTGTTCCATGAGTGAGAGATATCAAGTTGATCAAAACATGAAAACGAGTCATTGTTCCCTTGTTGATCTGTACATTATTATGCTCCTAATCTACCTCAGTACTCTGGGGAGTAATTTTACATTCCAGTATTTAACATTGAGTCCTTTTTTGCAAGCAATGCGGCTGAAGTGCTGAAAGCAATCGTAGCCTCACAAGAGTCAACAAAGGTGTGGAAACAATGACACTCCCCAACTCATTAGATTTTGGGGGGTGGGGTGGGGGGGCGAGGAAATCTGACAACAGTCTCCAACAGTCAACTCAGGCTCGGAAATCTCCCACAAATGGAAGGAAACTATGGGAAGGAAAGTTACAGTCACAACTGGAAGCAGATGGCAGATTCTGCAAAGAGTATTTTGGGAGTCAAAAACTCGCCAGTATCAGAAATATAGAAGATCGATAAAAACTATGCCTCGGAGCATGAAACCAACTGTAGCTTCGACTCACAACTCAGAACTAAACACATGAATCGATAGTGATAAGATCATATTTAGTTTAATATTAATTGAAGAGCTCAAATCTAATGAAGAAGTAAATATGATTTGCCTCCAAGCGACGAGTCTCAGAGTCTAACCCGAAGAAATAAAACCGTGTAAGACTCGTCGTAGAATGGATTACTTGTTGTGGCTCAAGAGCTTGTAGGAATAGCATGAATCTTATCATATGACGCCTAGCTTGAGGTCCCAAGAGTTCTTTACTCTTATATTGATTCGATTGTTTGAGAACCAATGACGAATGAAGAGTCCAAGACGACTTCTCTATTAGAGGTGATGGGATAATGTCTTTTGTATTATAGAGTGGACAATTAATCAACCTTTACTGCTAAATTAGAGTGATAATATTGTGAGCAGCAGTTGTGTTTTTGGTCTCTGTCTTTTCCTTTTCTGCCCAACTTTGTGTCTCTTCTTCCTCCTATTTCAAAAAGGCTGTCCCAGTTTCAGCTCCAGTTTGATTCCCCTGTGCCTATTCCTCCTCTCCCCTCCTCCTCCGCCTCTCTCTCTCTCTCTCTCTCTCCTCCATCTCCAAAATCCCACCTTTTGCCCTCCCCTCTCTCTTTCATGGATCCCAAGGGCTCCTCCAAGCTGCCCCAGGAGGTGCCCAACTTCCACTTGCAGTCAGATAAAAGCGAACCCACAACGCCCCCTGCAACAGCAGCCGCAGAAAGCAGAGACCTTTCGGCATCCGCAGGCTTGGAGAGGGGGCGGCAGGTAGTGGTGGCCGGGAAGGATGAACAAAGAAGGCAGCTTGCACCCAAGAGGAGCTCCAACAAGGACAGGCACACCAAAGTTGATGGCCGGGGAAGAAGGATCAGGATGCCTGCCCTCTGCGCTGCTAGGATCTTTCAGCTCACCAGAGAACTCGGCCACAAGTCCGATGGGGAGACCATCCAGTGGCTGCTCCAGCAAGCGGAGCCCTCCATCATCGCCGCCACCGGCACGGGAACCATCCCCGCCTCGGCCATCGCCGCTGCCGCTTCCGCCTCCATGTCCCTCCCTGGCGCCACTGTCGTGGCCGGCCTCCACCAGAAGCTCGACGATTCGGGACAGGGGGCCGCTCGGCCTACTTGGGCCGTGATGGGGACTGCTAACCTCAGCCGCTCCCACCCTGGCTTATGGCCGCCCCCGGTGGGTGGGCTCAATTCTGGTTTCTTGCATGCCGGCGCCGCGGCTCCATCAAGTTCGAATCTTGCGACCGGGGGCGGCGGCGACTGGTCGATGGGCGGTTTCATGCCGAGGATTGGATTGCATGGACTTGAATTTCCCGGCGGGAATCTGGGCGCCGTGAGCTTTGCGGCGATGTTGGGCGGGCATGGGCAGCAGTTGCCGGGGCTGGAGCTAGGGCTCTCGCCGGAGGGCCATATTGGAGCTATGAATCCTCAGGGATTAAGCCAGTTCTATCAACAGATGGGGCAGGGGAGGGGAGGAGTAGGTGGTGGTGGAAGTGGGCAACTGCATCATCATCATCATCAGCAGCAGCAGCATCAGCAACAGGCTCGATCGGAGAATGATTCACAGGGGTCAGAACAGTAGAAGGCAGAGTTTGAAGGTGAATCTGGTGATTAATGGGAAGAAAATTTGCAGTCTAGTCCAAAAATATCATCAAGATTTAATTTTTCTTCGGAAATTGAGCAGAGAGATCAGAATGACACCTGTCTGCCCCTTCTTTCTCTGCAACTGTCAGTGGTCACTGCATTCAGGTATCTTTCAATCTCTTTTGTTCGAAAGAAAAATTTACATGGACAGTCTTTGATGGTAGTGATATGGTATAGGATTTGGAGTATGAAGGCGTATATTAGTGGATCTGAATCAGTTGGAAGGATCTCAGCGAAGTTAATTTGTTTGAGGTGTGCAAATAGTAGTTTTGGGATTTACTCAACAATTTTTTTCTGTCAAGAATTGGTGGATTTGTGATTGGCTTGAATTGTGACAAATAAATATTAGCATTACTTGTGCTTGTGCATTTTGTTGTCGAACATTTCCAGTACTTAATAAAAAAGGACCTATTCCTGTAATGATGTTTGACATTTGAGAAACAACCAGAGAGCCTATGGATCCTTTTTGTGATGTAATGTTGATTTTCGTATTCATGGTAGCCTTTCTGTATCGGTGTTGCATTTCGTAAATTAGTCAGGCATATGGTATCATTTCTATCATTGTTGATAGGAATATATGTCATTTGTTAAAACTGATTTGTTACTTCTCTTAAACTAAAATGCCACTGCCTTTGAAAGAGTAGACACCGCAATTTGCTCATAATTACTTATCACAACACAATTTTTTGGATTTTGACGTATGATCTGTTCATAATCAATTTGCCTAATGCACAAGATTTGGAATACCACTTGGCCATACTGACACCATTGTGCTCTTCTTTGTTTTTCCTTTTTTAAATTGGATACGCTCTGGTTGAATCAATACTTTGAATTAGTCATCATTTCCTTAATTTTTCTTTCATCTTTAGTAGGGTTGTCTTTTTCTTGTCTTGATTAGAAAAATATATCCTTGTGTTACTTGAGGAGAAAGAAAATACATGATACTGTTGAGCCCCCAAAAAAGAAACATTAACAAGGAAAGCAGTTTTGCATTATATTACACCAAAAAAGCATTCTTTAAATCAAGGTTTGTCGTACTGCAGCATATTGCTCGGTACGGGTGGTATGTACTAGCTCAAAAGGGAATCGATATGTGCGGTATATCGGTATGCCCCAATATATCGTATGTTGGTACACTCGGTATGACTCGGTACAGTTTAGTAAGTATCATACCGACAGCTGGTCGGTATATTAGTACGGACCTATAAGACGAACCATACTTTAAATAATACAGTCAGAACTAGGATTATTAGCTCTTGCATCCGAAACAATATCAAGTTGAGAATTGGTAGTTTTGATTTCATTAGGATTCATTGTATTCTTAATTAAGAGCTTTAATGACATTGGGCTTCTGTATGACTAGGATTACATGTGTGATGCATTACCCATTCAAACACATTGATCGGAATAAGTAGATGTATGTTCATTTCACTGCCTTGCAATTGCTATCAAACTTCTTATTTGAGGAAATTATGGCGATTTAAATAAAAATTATTGTGGAAAATGAGCATTCATCAATAATCTCGTAACGAAGTGGTTGGAAGTATTTTTGAGTATTTCCATTGATTCCTAACATGAATAAATTGTTTTTACATTATAATGGTAAAATGCGGCTGAGAACCTTTTACATAGCTGATCTTATTTGTCTTAACCTATCTTGGCTGCAAGTTATATATGTATATGTATATATATATGTATATATCTATATATGTACATACATACATATATACATACATATATACATATATATATATATACATATATATATATATACATATATATATATATATATACATATATATATATATATACATATATATATATATATACATATATATATATATACATATATATATACATATAATATCATATGAGCTCTTTCGTATTCAGGTGTTGTTCTCATTCTCATGACTTCAGTATGAACAGTGAATTGAAATTTGCTTCATGCAATGTGTCAAAGAAGTTCATAAATAAGCATGTCTTAGGCAAAAGGTATGAAGCCACAAAATCAACTGGGATATGGTCCTTCCATCTCTTTATGTGAATTTACATTTTATGTGAATGCTGCACATTGTAGTTTTGTTCATGATTTACATTTTATGTGTAGCATGTCATGAGTAAAATGCAAAAGCAAATATGAATAATTTATGGTTATCCTCCATGGTTTGCAAAATGATTCATTATAATTTTACTAGATTTACGTGGCATGACATTATTTGGAGGGACATTATATGGCTTCTTCTTTTTGTTGTTGTTGTAAGTGGAAGTTCCAAATAGTGATTTTTATGTATGTGTGAAGTGGAAAATGAATCTTAGGACACAAGCTGTTATGTTGTGTCAATTGAAAGCAAGTAATCTTCCATGTTGCCTCATTAGATCAGTGATTAATTTATGTTTACTGACTAGAAGACTTAGGTTAACATCTATAGTGGAAAAGGATGTTCACCAAAATGGTTTATTGATAATTCCAATAACTCCTTATTTTGACTTTTTGATATTAGTAATGCTAAGATCACTTAGCAAAGGTAAGACTACATATATTGATCCTTCCTGAAACCTGTACTGATAAGAGTCTTGTACACTCGGTGGTCTTCTTTTTATTGGTATGGTCACTTAATATAGCTATATGGCTATAGTATATGGGGCCCATATTTCTGCACTTTTTGAGCATTACATATCTTAAGTTTGAAGGTTCATTTTCTTTGATAAATGAGATAAGAAAGTCATTATGATGGAAAAAATATCAAGGCTGAAGAAGTCTAATACTTCAAGCATAAATGTACGTGTAGATTGTTGTGTCAGTCAATATGCCAATTTTTGGTTTTGCTGATTGGTAGAAGGGGCATGCTAATTGGCGCAACTTAATGCATACCGTACTAGAAAGGTATCAAAAGCATGCCTCCATGCCAAGAAATGACAACCATTGAGTATATTATCTATCTCTCTTTTATCTTTTTCTACCTTACATGAAACAGATATGATAAATTTATATAGGAATTCTACATCAAAGTCTGCCAAAACATTTCCAACTATAAGTTATGAATGTGACGTTAGGTCATAAGGCTGCTGTTACTTTTTTCTCACAAAATTTGTTACAATAACACTGGCATACATTATCTGTATTGATTACAAATCTGATATATGCTGGTCGTCACAGTCTTAGTCTAGTATTGGAAATTAAAAAAAAAAAATTCAAAAGCTATTCACAGGAAGGTTTTCTTTTTTTTTCTTAGGAGAAAATCATAAAACCATGGTTATAAGGGGCATACCCAATGCATTAGGCTTCTGCCAATTCTAAGTCTAAGAGGATCAATGTATGTAACCTTACTTCCGATGTCGTGAAGGAGCAATCTTTCCATTGTACTAAGGTCCATCCTCTATATCTGTTTAAAGAGTGTTTAATTTGCTTGTTCTAAGTTGTTTGGTCCATGAAGGAGGGATTGAACATGAGACTTGTAATGATTAGAACAGTAGCCGTATGCATGTGAGATCAAAACAAATTTCTCATGTGATGTCTGTAGGGAACAAGCCACAAATTTCAAGCTTAGTGCAGTAACTTGTCTTTATAGATGTTTAGGATCAGGTCAATATGGGTATATAAGAGAAGCTGTTAATCACATTTCATGATTAAATAACCAGCATAGCAGACAACTTGAGGCTGTTGTTCTTGTTATGCGTGTTGATTGGTTAGCTTAATGCAAGAGATGTACTCAAGTGATCATAATTCAACTTTTTTCAGAACTTGACAATGCCTGTTTCTTGAAGCAAAGCATCAAGAAGGTGAAGCTTGACAATGCCTAGCTTCCATTTTCACCAAAGTTGCCATTTTTGACAATGCCTTCCTTGAAACAAAGCATCATCGATATGCTTTGGAGTCAAAGCATAGTGAATCACCATCGAGGGATGTGAAAGAAGGTGAAGCATAGGATCTGAAATCAATGCTTAGCTTCTTGAGGCAGATCATCATTGATATGATTTGGAGTCATGGCATAATAAATTCACGATGGAGCGATGTAAAAGAAGGTGAAACTAAAAATATGAAAATAATCCCTAGCTTCTTGTAGCAAAGCATCATTAATATGCTTCAGAATCATGGCGTAGTGAATGAAAACAATGCCCAGCTTCTTGAAGCAGAGCATCATTGATATACTTCAATGTCATGGCATAATGAACCACCACGGAGGATGTAAAAGAAGGCGTAACTTTAAGATATGAAAACAATGCCTAGCTTCTTGAAGCAAAGCACCATTGGTATGCTTCAGAGTCATGGTGTAGTGAATCACCATGGAGGAATGTAAAAGAAGTTGAAACTGAAGATCTGACAACAATGCCTAGCTTCTTGAGAAAGACCATAATTTATATGCTTCAAAGTCATGGAATAATGAATCTACATGGTTGATATAAAAGAACGTGAAAATAGAGCCATACTAACAGTACCTAGCTTCTCGAAGCCAAGCATCATAAATATGCTTTGGATTCATGGCATAATGAATCACCTTGATAGGATCTAAAAGGTGAAACTAAAGTTATGATCTCTCTCTTAACCCACCATTTCTTTTTATTATTCATTTCAATCCCTGTTATTATTCAGTTAGTGTTTGAATGCAAATGCTTCTGTACTACCATATTTACCGACAACATCTTTCTTTTCTCCATTTTTTTTGCCTTCCAAGTGCAATGGATTACTTTTTAGTTTCTACAGGATGTAACTGCAATAAAAAAAGAAAGAATTTTTCTCACTCTCAATGATTATTTTGCACATTAGGATCCTTTTCTGTACTAAGCATAATCTTCGGAGATGCTTCATTCGAGTTGATTCCTCTGATTGGCTACTCTACATTATTGTAGGCTGTTCCAGATACCTTGACCTGTATAGTTTCTTCTTTTTTCACTTCTTATTGATAGAACTGTGGGGTTTGTGTCATACAATGGTAGGCTTTTCCAGGCACTTTGATCTATAGGAAGAAATTTTAAATTGTTTGTGAACTATTTTTTGTGCTGCAGTAACCTATAACTGGCATGAAACCTGAACCTTTTCAATTAGGTGATTTAATTTTTCATTATTCTGTTCCAATCTTAATTGTTTGCGGTATTATTTTTACCTGGTGATTTTTTATTTTTTATATCTGGTCCATCATTTTCACCTTTGTCAAAATTATTTTTTGTTTAGGTGCTGTTTTAGGGAGCTTTTTCTTAGCATCTGTTTGTGTAGAATCAAATTTGTCATATTTCCTTCTCTTCAAACAACTCCTACTGCATTGCTTTTAGTATCTAAGAGCTAGCAATGAATTGTTAACTAAGAATTGTACAGGTTCTTAGCTTTTTAGTTTTTTGGATTCATTTTTGAGAGTCTAATAAATATTGCCCATAAATGTGTTTAATTGTGTGGGTGTGTGATCTCACAATGCACTGAGAACTATGTCATTCACAGAAGAATTATGTTTCAGCTAAAGCTGACTTGTAAATGTTTTATTCCCTCTGCAAAATGTATTCCCTGTTTAAAGCAGTTTTTTTTGTGCAATGTATATGGTTTTCAGAATCCTCTCTTATATCATCAATTTGGTTTTTAGCTTTTCTCATCTTTTATGCATTGTTATGCAAATCTGTTCTTCCATTTATCTTTTTCTTTTTCTTTGAAATCTGCTCTACATCTTTAAACCATAAAACATTTCCAAATAGGTGAAAGCAAGAGGGAGAAAACAACAATAATAACAATGTCATAAGAGTCCATCTTTTGCATATTCTTAATTAAAGCTAAGAATATTTAAATTTTTAATTAATCTTATTAGTTCTTCTTGTATCATAATAGTATATATTTCACTACAACATCTATAAGCCTTTTTAGTATATATATTTATATATATCATCATAAAGAAGGAAAAAAGGGAAAAAAAATAAAAGAAGAATTAATGAATTAGAAAGCTGAGAAATCAAGTAAAAATATTTCTTCTCTTATCTAACCAATAGTATATTAAAAGTTGAATTAATAAACTAGAAAGGAAGAGAAATAGATTGTTGTCACAACTTCAATTTTTTTTTTCCTCTTGGAACTTGATAAATGAAGATGATAACACAGAACCCTTACATCCACTAATTAATTACACATGGAGGAAAAGGATTTATTTTACCCACATCTGCTTCTGCCATAAAGGAGGTTCATTATATATTTGGTGCTCGATGAGTCTGAGTTCAGCTCCACTGCTTCTGGTGAACACCAAATGTTGTCTCTAACATACATGAGTGTCATGTAAGGAGGAAGCTGTTGGCCTCTACATGTTATCACCACCTGACATAGTCGACATTGATGTGTAAGTGATGATCAGAGAAGATGAACAGTCTTATATATATATATATATATATATATATATATATATATATATATA